AAATAAAAATAAATTAGTATCTGTATGCATGTAATTATTCTAAATCTTTGACTATAAATTAATTCCCCAACTCTTTCCAATACACATATTTAGCTTTTCAGAGTCTAAACTGATATACAGGTAAACAATTTGAATAAGAATATAATCTTAGATTTTAAAACGTTTTTTCATACTTGAGGCCTAATTCAAAGAAGTAAAAAAGTTTCACTGCAGAAAACTTTCTTTAAAAATATCTTACAAAAGGATATTTGATAACAATCACAAAGCATTATACCACCAAAACTGGGTAACAATAACCCAAAAACCCTATGACTGAAATGCTGAGATCACAATTAGAAAACATAATGTGAAACATGTAAAATGTTATAAAGTAACTTTCCCTCACCTGATGTTCTCCAGATGTGTTGGATTACAACTTCTGTAATTCCAATAAACATAGCCAATGTAATTATGGAAAATAATGCCCAACCCATGTTGGGAAAGACTACTGAACTTTGAGAATAGGAGTTGGGTAACCAAGTAAGCTATGAAAAAAAGCATTTCCTTCAACCAAAAGAGTTTCCAAATTGTTCCCTTTTTGAGAAGGCAAGTGCTTTACTGTTAGACTAGAAATACATTTAAGCCCATAATTCAGCTGCTGTCAGTCAGTGGGAAAATGGAAAACACAACATGTTGGAAGTCATTCTGTTTGTTCTTAGCAACTACCGTAATAATTATAAGTATGCAGGCCCTGAACACAGAGGTTTCAGCTTTGTTTCTTTTAGCTAACAGCCACTCGATCTTAAAGAGATTTAAAGTTTATTTTATAATTAATTGCCTAGCTACTGTTGCAAAGAAGGGCAGGAACTTAAGCGGGGAAAGCAGTCACCACATTTTGCAAGATCCAAAATTAGTACTCAGGCTAATGTAACTGATACTTTAGTGAAGCTGTCCCTTCAATTTCCTTTCATAAACAGCAAGATAGTTGTATAATAGAAAGTATTTATCTTAATTCTATTGACATTAGTTATCACAATGGAGTATGACAGATTTGTTTATTAGTCAACTAAATCCCCTCTTAACAACTTGAAAGTGACTGTGAAATAATAATAGAGTTAATGGCTTTTTTCACACCAACTACATATTATAAAAGTATGTTAAACTTATTTTACTGACAGCATAAACTTAATAGATCAGATTGAACATGGAATAGGGCAATCATTAGCCCCATTGTACTTTGTACAATGTATACTGCAAAAAGAATTCACTTCTCAAGTTTTCACTGCATCTGTGCAGAATAGATGGCATTTACTACATTCATTATATGTTGGAGAAGGGGAACTAGAATAATTGGAGCTTCACTGTGAGAAATCTTTATCATTCTTTGCAGATAGTGTCAATTAGAATTGCCTTGAATTGGACTCAAGTGTTGAGACAAGTCATGGAGAAGTAAGAAGGGTAATCTTTTATGATGTAAAAATAGATTCTTTTCATTATGAAGAACTTGAGAAGACAGGCAGAATATGTAGCTAGGTAAGGACCACTAACTGTTTGTTTGATCCCCCCCCCTTGATTAGATAAAAATAGGACAGGATTAGTTTCATAGTTTATGGGAGTGAGCAGCCACAATAAATCTGGAGGTTCTGCAACAAATATATTTTGCATGCAAGCATGATCTGGGACCAAAAAGTAGGCACAGTAACAGAAAACGAAGTTAAAATGCTCTGGGGCTTTAGAATTCAAGCAGACAAGTATGTGCCGATAAGAAAGATAAAAAAAGTCTGGATAGTGGAATTGACAGTAACTAGATACAGCAGAATAAAAGAGAAAGAAATGAGAACATAATAAAAATACAAAGACCTGCAAATTAAAGTAGAACCACAATGATAAAAGAAAGTAAAGACAGTACCAATATTAATAGGTGGTCTTGAGTGTAATCCCAAAACAAATGGAGCACTACTTGAACACCAATGACATTGACAAATCATCGGTCAATTGCAAAAGGCAGCTTTAATAAAAATAGCTTACAACCTGTGATGATACTATTAACACTATCAAACACCTTCTGCATATCTCATGTCTAAGGACACATTTGGGGGATAAAAATGTGAAATGCAGTCTGAACATCTGGCTGCTATGACAAAGCATAATAGTAATAATTAGTCGCCCGGAGTCACTCAATAGTGACATGGGTGGCATGTAAATTTAATAAATAAAAATAACACAATGAAGATTTGTTTCCGTGAATCACTTGATGTTAGTGAAAATATAGTCAGATCAAATGTATAATATCAGTTAAAAAACAAGAATAAATTTGCAATAATTTTCCAAAATCAACTGCATATCTTATTTTTTTATATGAAACAGGAAAGGTCAGTTCATACACCTTGGTCTAATTTCCTATGGTTTCATTTCAAATGTCCTTCCAGGTAGGCAAATCAAATTTCAAATAAAAACTGCCACTTCTTTGGCAATGATATGAGAAAGGGAGAAAAAGGAGGGTGTTAAAAAATGGAAGAGTGAACAAGTAAGAGGCACTAGACTGGAAGAAACTAGTGTTCCTGCATACTATTTATATGCAATGTCATTCCAAGAGAGCTGGCAAAAAATATTACGTTTATTATTTTACCTGACAATTATCAGGAATTTAAATACCATTAAAATGGCTAAAAATGGCATATATTAGCAGATATGTTTACTGAATACTATTTTTAGCTATACAAAATAAAATCGAAACAAATAACAATTCCCCTCCAAAATAAAAACGACCAGAAACTTTTCTAAAAGTATCCAAAAATGTCACTAAAATTTAAACCTTAATCTATTTTCCATAAGCATGACATAGCATGATTATATTATGCCACAATTGCGTAAAGAACAATGAATAAGTTTAGTAAAACATAAAGAGATGAACTAAATAATCCACTCATTTAAAAATGACAGTAATGCATTTCAAGGAAGTGTAAATGCATTGTTTTTAGTATTTTTACCATTTTTTCTTGCTGTTAGTAATGTTCCATTAAGATGTTTTATAAAGTTTGCATCAAGTTGATTTAAAAGATAGCAATTCCATGATATAAATTTTTATTACAAATTTGAGAAACCATTTATTAATAATATTCACTTCTACAGCAATTATCAAAAAAGATTAATATTATATTGGTAAAGGACAATCTTTCTTCCTCGGAAACAGAAAGAAGACATATAAAGTAATACAGGAAAGTAAATCTATACCACATAATAATCCAAATGTGATTTTACTATTGTGTGAGCAAGACTACAAAATGGATAATAGTTAGAAAAAAATCACAGAGCAAGTATTAGAATATTTTCCAAATATTTTAAACTACAACTGAAGTTAATGGGAGCTGAAGTCCAAAACCTTTGCAGAAAATTGCTAACCCCTAGTATGCATTTGGAGGAAGAATGGAATATAGTAGGATAGCAGATGCAGATAAATAACTGTATTATACACACAAAACAAAAGGAAACTACCGTAAATACTATTAGTATGAGGTTAATTGAAAATAAAAGCATTCACATCAAGATCAAGGAAGAATGTTTGAGAAAGCCAGGATGGAAGTTCTAATAAAGAAAAAGTGAATTAACTAAGAGAGACTAAGGAAAAAAAGAAACAGAACTGGTAAAAAAGGAGATCTTAAAGTTGGCACAGAAGAAATTAAAATGCAGAATAGTCAGGCAAATATGAAGACATGAAGATGGCCTAAGTATTTGGAAGTCATAAATATTAAATACAATTATAAAGATCAGTAACAGATACTAGTTAAATTGGGATTTTATTTATGAAAGACGGGGGATTGGAAATGCAGAATAGGTGGATGGCTAAACAAACTAATGCTTATACAATTTAAACTTTATGTTTTAAAGTGATGGCCCTGAGAGCTGCCAGGAAAAAATTCTCGATTGGTCTGTACACCTTTAAGGGACGAGGCTCATTTTCAAACTTAACTGCAACGGATTAACTCAGGCTACACAATCAAAGTTGCAATTCTGTATACGTTTTGTTGGATAATAAGAGTATTTTCTAAAGATCTCACAGGCTACATAAAGAGCAACGGTTCCAAATCCTTCAGGGAGGGCAACTATGAGATCAATGTGAACAGTGATTGCAACCAAAGAGAGGCGACGGTTCTTCTTCCAGGTTAATCAACACGGAACCATGTGGGCGTGATCGTGTGGAGAGGGAAGAGGAAGGACAGGCAGAGATCACGAGTCTGGATCATCTTGTCCAGTACAACGCCCGCAGGTGACGATCCTTCGGACTGAGAGGGCCCCCCAGTACTCAGGGACGAGGAAGAAACGGGCCAAGTCAAGGCCCATAGTAAAATCTGCACGAGTGACGTTGTGACAGAACAGGCCTCCCCGTTACCTTTTACCGACGACAACAAGGGACTCAAAATCCTCTCACCTGACGGCTCTGCCCGGGTTGTGGAGGGGGGAAGGGGAGCGACAGGGCGATCGCTAAACCAACCACGGCACCTCCGCGCGCACGCGCGCGGAACACACGCATAGACACACACAAACTCCCTCGCCGTCGGACGCCCAGTGTTTGCCCTCATTCGCCTTTTGCTCCGCCTTCCAGCCCAAGAACTGCGTCGCGGCCATTGGTTTTCCAGTTCTCTCCGTAGGACGGCTGACCAATCCAGTAAGCCGCTCCCTGGCCTCTCTCGCCTATTGCAGGACTGGGCGTGTAAGGAGAGAAAAGGCGCAAGCGAAAATATCTAGCGGGGAGGCGGGATAATACATTTTGATTGGCGGGAAAACGAAAGTAACTCATTTCCCTCCTCTCCCCCGCCATTCTTCTTAGAAATCATTGGCTACAGCGACTGCCTCCTTTTTCTATTATGGGTTTCCCATTGGCCAACCGCTCTGAAATGTTTTACAGAAATGGCAGGCCTTGTCTCGCGCGCAGGCGGGGTTACCGGGGGAGGGGCGGTGAGTAGAAACAGCGGAGCTTTGATTCGCGGCTTGGTATCAATGCGCTTTCTGATGCGGCGTCATCCAGTCCTCTTCAGCTTGCGCGCGCCGACGCAATAACGTCAGCAACGACTTTGATTGGGTTTCGCAAGATGGCGTCGCGCAGGGGCTGATGTCGATGGCTTGCTATTTTCGGGTTCCCCTGTACCCGTAGTCCGTGAGTGGTTCCATCAATATTGTGTGACTGAAAGACAGGCTGAGTGATTTAAATTATCAAAGTTACAGAGGTGTGTTGAGGTTGAAATGTAGGAAACCTTTGATGCGTGAATGGCAGCTGCTCCGGTGAAGGATGGAAAAACATTCGTTTTAATGACAGGACGGAAAGAAATTTTTCTACTTTCCAAGAGCCCTTCTGGAAAGTTAGAGCCCACCTTTCAAATACAAAGGCAGCAATTCGATAATTATTATTTTTATATAGGCCATAAACAAAATAAAACAAGTAAATACGCTCTTTCTTGACAAGGTAATGTATTAAATAAGTAAATCTGACTTGACAATGAGCTCTGTGCACATTTATCCAGAATATAAAATGAATAATCTGGAAAATGTTTGCCTTGTAATTGATAGAAGCCAATTTTTGAGAGTTTGGCTTCAGTATGGACCAAAATTAAAGAACCGAATTATAGCAGTGAATGAAAGGGCTATTTTATATACTTACTATTCCTGTTTATTTCATTGTTTTACTGGATACTGGGGGAACCAGAATTGATAGCAAATAATAATAGATCTTTGCAGTATTATTCTGTATCTTATAGATTTAAAATCATAACTGGTTAAACCAGTGCCACCATAATACCTGAGAACTAGTATCAGGTAAAGAAATGACTCCAATGTTTGTTTGAAAAGACTGGAAACTAATGTTTGGAAGTGTGCTGTTCTTTGGAAAGTAGAGGCAATCTGCTATTTCAGGTCAAAGTACCATGAGAATGGAGCTTGTTTCAAGCATTATATACAAGTGACTAGTTTGATTTTGATGAATGTAGTGCACGAACCTTATATTACATTTCTTGGATTTTATGTAGTTACTAGATCAGAGTTACCTAATTTAAGTTTACTAGTATTCAAACCTACCAGTTTTTAAATTAGCCCCATAGTGAGATTTAACATTGCTTTGATTTGCTGCGGTTACAAATATTTATTTGATTTGCATCCAACCTTTTCTTCAGGAATTCAAGATTCCTAAATGGGGATTTTCCTTGATTTTTAATCCTCATAGCAAGCTGTAAGATAGTTTTATCTGAGATAGAGATAGAGATAGAATTGTCACTCAGTGTATCAAGACCAAGGATTGACTTAATCCTGGATCATTCGGGACCAATACTTTATCCACTGTACTGAACTTGTGGGGCATTTTGAGTCATATTTTCACTTTGGCGACTTCTGCATAACTAAACTGCAAAGAGAATCTCATTTCACCTGGCCTTTTGGTAATTTGAGTAGAAAATCCTACTGTGTTGGAAACTTGATCATGAAGCTCACTGTCATTATAACTTAAGGAAATGGGCTGTGAATGATTTCTGAAACCATAGCAGGACAGGTGTTCTCCAAAATAATGGTATTATTATTTGTTGCTAGCTACCTTGAGAGGTTAAAGAATAATGAGAAGACAACTTGGTGACTTTGGGCCAGTAACTTTATCTCAGGTCAACTCACCTCACAGGATTATTGTAGGGAAAATAAGAAGCTGTAGAATTACGGTATGTTTGCTGCCTTGTGTTATCTATAAAATAATAAAAGGGGGATAAAAAATATTTTAAAAAGGAACAATAAACTTTAAATAGTAAATGAATAAAAGTGGAAGAAATAAGATTAGAACATTAAAAAAGAGCTCACGTACCTAAGTTCATGGATCCTAGGAATTAGAAAATGGCATACATAAATGTCTGAAAACATGTTAGGTTTTGAATGCAAATCTCCCACAGCCTCAGTGATTTATTTTTTCCATAGGTTCTAAAGTCATATGAAAACCTACCTTACTGGAATTATTGTTGATAAATGAAGGAAAACAAAGAAAACTCTAGTCCCTCTGTATCTTTGGCAAACCTGGACCACACAAAACCATGTTGGTATTGGGATAAGAAGGACTTGGCACATACACCATCACAGTTAGAAGGACTTGATCCAGCTACTGAAGCAAGATACAGAAGAGAAGGTGCCCGGTTTATATTTGATGTAGGAACCCGTTTGGGATTGTATCCTTTTAAAATTCTCTATTGTGCAGTATGTAAGATTAAGATTTCATAATCTACTTTTTACTTGGTGTGCAAATAATAACAGTGTTTTCACAAAAATATTAAATTTCATTTAAAATTTTAACAATCAGACACTATTATTTAAATATTTTTTTCCCTTCCCAATTATAGTTGCAGCTTGGTTGGTTATTTTGTTGGGAAAAACATTTTTTTCAGTTACAAAATTTGTTAATTTACAATTTCTTCTTATTTACAGTCCATAATCCTCTAACTAGTTTAATCCAGTATCATATGCCAATCAAATAATGTAACTTCTGGAACATGAATTCCTTAGCATTTCTGAATTGTTGCTCAAATGCTAAGCTTAGGTAAATTTTAATAGTTGAATAGTACTGTTACTAATTGATTGAACTGTATTTATGCAAAATAGTTACAGTCTATTTTATATGTCATTACTTATGACGGGTACACTAGTTCAGGAATCTGTTCTCAAACACCTGGGCTTGTAATTCATTTTTATTTTTATCCATTAATTTTCCTTGTAAGATGGGTGGCCAATACATTTAATGAATAAATAAAATAATTTTAGTTACTTCATAACAATTCCATATCATTATTTTTATGACTTTGTGTCAATCTTTATTTGTGGTAACTGCCTGGACTAATCTCTGTGGTTTTCTTGGCAAGATTTCAGAAGTGGTTTGCTATTGGCTTCTTCCTATAGCTGCCTAAGATTACTCAGCTGCCTTCATGCTTAAGGCAAAACTAGATCTCATCGTCTCCCAGTTCTTAGTCGGGTTCTTTAATCAGCACACCTGACTGGCTGTCTTTGATATGTTCTTCAGTTTACTCATTTGTAATATTTATAGTTGAAATTGACCTAAATATGTTACATTCTTACCTGTATTCAGACATTATGACACACTGGCAACTGGAATAATATATTTCCATCGGTTTTATATGTTCCATTCCTTCAAACAATTCCCAAGATATGTAAGTGCTAATATATTGCTTTTGGTTTACGGTATGTAATTGATGTCTACTAATGCTTCACAAAAAAATAATGAAAATATCTGAATCAAAACAGTACAGCCTAGAAATAAATATGTTGCAGGAGTCTGAAGGACTTGAGGCAGAAATAAAGGGGAGGAATATGCAGTTATTTATTTAAATATTCCTAGTTGTATTTGCTGTAGGATTTAAAGAGCATTGTGGAGAGGTAGATTAGAGCTTAAGAATTTTGTGTAATCCTTATTTTGAATATGTTGATGCACACCATCTGAATCAGGCCTCTAGTATACCGTATATACAAAACAGTAATATGTCTTGCTTTTCCCAGAGAAGACTGGTTTTGTAAATCAAAAACAAATGCAACTTCAGAAGCTGGACTTGTAAAATAATATTACAAATGAATCTTAGCTATTTGCTTGTTTAGTTTATTAGCTCTTACTGGCAGAAATAATTAGACCAAATTATGGCCACCAAAACCAAATGTATAGGCCTTGTATACTTCAATGGCTTTCTAAAATCCTATTTCTTAATAGGTAACTGGAGCTTGCTGCCTATTCCTAGCAGGAAAAGTTGAAGAAACACCCAAAAAATGTAAAGATATCATCAAAACAGCTCGTAGTTTACTAAATGATGTTCAGTTTGGGCAGTTTGGAGATGATCCAAAGGTAAACTCAGATGTGCTAAAGAGTCTCTGACTTAAATTTGTCATAGTACAATCTAAGTGACGTGTAGCTGTTTATGTAAATTTTGGTAGCGTTCATAGAATAAAATACAGGTAACCCTTGACTTACGACCATGCATTCAATGATGGTTCAAAGTTATGATGGTGCTGAAAAAGGTGACATGATCTGTCTTTGAAGTTATGACCATCAAACTGCCTGAATGAAAAACACATGATCGAATTTGGATCTTTGGCAATTGACTCGCATTTACAATGGTTTCAGCACCTTGCAGTCACGAAATTGCGATTTGCAAGTTTACCAGCCACCTTCTGACAAAGTCAATAGGGGAAGCTGGATTCACTTAATGACTGTCTGATTTGCTTAACAACCATGTGATTTGCTTAATGATTGCAGTAAAAATTATAAAATGTCACAGAATAGAAGTACATTTAATAAATAGTCCAGTCACATGATTATTTGCTTAATGGCTGAAATTCCAATCCCAATTGTGGCTATAAGTAAAGGATTACCTGTAGATAAAACTAGGAGTAAGCTTCTATCACCCAAATACTTGAATTTGTCTATAAAAAATTGGCAATGTATTAATAATTGAAATCTATTTCACTGCCTTGATTAATTTAGCTAGTATTTTTATGTTATTTTCAAAGGCAATATGTATTGCAGTGCTTGTGTTGTTCTCCTGTTGCATTTGCCTGTCTTTTCAGCAAAGAAATAACCCACTGCACAAGGGAAGCAGTGAAACTGGCCACACAGAGTGCAGCCATATGCATACAGTAAGCAAACTGGAAAAAATCGACATTTCTCACATTTCTTGTTAAAATATCTTAGCCACAAAGTCTTCTAATAGTTTAGTAGGAGGTATATTTTTTATAGTAGTAATTTATATTTGGAGGTCCTGAAAGTTAAAATGGACATAATTTGTTTGTTTGTTTCTACATACTTTTATTAAACAAGGTTTGTGTGTTTGTAATGTTTAGTAATTTCTGATTGTTTTGTGATTAATGTCCAATAAAATTTACGTAGGTTGTCTAACATTTAGTAGGCTCAAAAATTCAGCTAATCTTTTGGTATTTAGCTAACAAGTGTGAGAGAAAGTACTTCCTTAATTCACTTTGTGGATAAGATAGTGCCTTTTGTGAATGGGTTTCACCTATTTTCACTGGAATTTTCTGTTAGGTATTAGATTCCTTGCTAACTTCTTAAAGCAAGATACATATTTAACTATCACAGAATAGTAGTAAAATATTGCTTGGCTCTCACATTTTGTAGGGGCTGATGTTTTAAGTGAGAACAGGCAAAAAGCTATCTATATAAACTAACAGGAAAAAACCCCCTCAAAGCTGTATTATTCACATTGAAACACATCTTTATTATAGAATACTTATTCTGTTATTGCCTGGCAATTGTTTTCTTTCTAGTAATTAATATTTGACTGTCCATTTATGCAGTTTAACTATTCCACCACAAACTGTTTAACAGTAATATGTCCCCTATCCCATCCCAGATGTGATTGTTAAATCAGCAGCTGAATTTATCATGTGGACATACTGCAATGTTAATGAAAAACAGTAAGTCTTAACTGCCAAAAAAATCAATTATTTTATTGACAACAGTTGCTGACAGTGTTATTGGAAATGTGGCAGGACAGAAATATATTTAATAAATTAAAAAATGGTGATTCACACCTCTTCTTCCTCCTGCTTTCCCGTTTTATCACTTTTGACATTCCACCATATAGGTGTAGAGTTTTAACAGTAGAGGAAACATCTAATGGGTCTCAGCCACAAATAATTTATACTGGAAATTATATTTAAGATATATTAACATCAAGTCCTCGAAACAGGCAAGAATTCCTCTTGATAAAAGTTGCTGTTCAATCACAAAATGCAAGTGCCTTTATGTACTTGTGTTTAGGATTTAGATGCTATGGGGATTTTTAAATATTTAAAATAAATAAGATTACTTTCATAAGCAACTGCAAATATTGCTTCCCTTAGCATTATTGCATAATGACAGCTGGGACTTTTATAAAACAAACTAATGAATACAGGTATGCAAAATATTTTAACTTCAAAATATCTTGAATACATAATGACTGTACTGACTAATTGTGTGCACTCAATTAATTCGAATTTGCTCTCTTGGTATTAGGAAGAAGTTATGGTTTTAGAGAGAATCTTGCTGCAGACAATAAAATTTGATTTGCAAGTCGAACACCCTTATCAATTCCTACTTAAATATGCAAAGCAGCTCAAAGGTATACTCATTTTATTTCAATACATGTTAATAAATCCTTGTTACAGGTAGTCCTCAACTTATGACTGGTCAGTTAATGACCATTCAAAGTTACGAGAGAGTCAGGAAAGATTCCTGTCCTTGAACTTACAATCTCCCCCCCCCCGGGGCACGATTACATGATCACAATTCTGGTGTCTGGCAACCATGTTGAACTTACGGCTGTTTGTGCTGATCTGTGGGATGCAATTTTTTTTTTCTCCAGCCAGTGCTGAAGTACCTCCCCCTCCCTCATTTGCACAGAAGGGAACTACCTATACCTATGCCCATGATTGCCATCTTGATGGATATGTATGTATAGTTCTTGTAGGATCACCACATAAACTTATTTTTCTTGCTTTATTCTGAAGTCTGGTGAGCCTGTAACAAACCCTTCCTCTTTTACTTTTAATTTGGGAGAAGGGAACGTTCTCCATTGGGCTATGTTACCTATATACATATTAGAAAGCAATCTGACATGTTTTCTATGTTCTCCAAAATTTCCAAGTGGGATGGTATCCTAAGAAAGGGTTTGTCTCTGGTTACTTTTCCCTTCAGAACAGCAAAGACAGGGATAAGAAATGGTTTGAATATGATCATGTCTAATGACATAGACACCAAATAGCCGCCAGACTTCCAGCATACAGAGCTAGAGAAAGTTGGCCATATAATTGCTCAATTTTCACCCATCTCTCCAATTTGAAAATTGGTAAAAGGCATGCCCTAGCAATAGCCATAGTGCTTTTACAGCACTCCAGGCGGTTTACAATGTCAGCATTGTCAAGCATCACACTCCTTTATTAAGAATGTTTACTGAACCTTGACAAACAACATAGGTTCTGAATAACACTGATAATATTCTGTTGGTATGCCTATTTATTGGCTTAACCTAGCCATTCTTTTTGTCTTTTTCTAATAGGTGATAAAAATAAAATTCAAAAACTGGTTCAAATGGCATGGACTTTTGTAAATGACAGGTAAAACACCCCTCCTGCATCTTCAATCATAAGTTATAAGCATTTTGTTCATTCTGTTGCAAATTCCAGACATTATTTTCCTCAGTATTTAAAAATAATTTAGTGAACCCAATTGCACCTTAATGACAAATAGTTTATGTGCTTTGGAATGTGTTAATTTCATGCAGCCCTTTGCACAAATTCCAATCTCTGGAAATAGCTATCTGCTCCTTCTCTACAAAGAAAGAGAGATGAAAGGACAACAGAAAGTGAAAAAGTGCATCAGAAATAATGGGGTTTTTTTTATCACCTTTGGATCTAGTTCCATCAATTGCTATCTTCAACTCATTGTATTTACATCTGAAGTCCTTATTAATATATATGTGCCAATAGAGGCACAGATAGCCTGTCGCAGAGCATTTCAAACATCTTGAACAGATTCATCAGCTATGACATCGATGATGAATTTACCACACATATTTCAAAAATGGCATGCTAAATTTTGGATGACACACCAACCAACAACAACTATTCTTAAAAGCACACCCGATTCCTGTGCAGTGTTCTTGTAGTCTGCATGAGAAGAGGGTGTGCTCTTGTGTGGCCTCTGAAAGTTGCACAAAAGGGCTGTGTTCTCACATAAACCTGGGAGAATTGGGCATGCTGTCACATGATTTTTGGAGGCTATGGAGGCACATGAGAATGGGGTATATTTGCACGGCCTCCGGAAGTCACATGGAAGGGCCATGCTCTCATGCAACCACTAGAGATTCTGCAAATTAAGTGAGAATGGAACTTGTTTATACATGGTTTTGGGAAGCTTCCAGGGCTACTGAAGTGCATTCTCCAATGTAGCTTTTAAGAACAAAGACCTCTTACAGTAGCAATAGTACTTAGGCCTACTGTACATACTGCCCCATAGTGTTTTACAGCACTCTCTGGGTGGTTTACAGTGCCCCCAACAATCTGAGTCCTCATTTTACTGAACTTGAAAGGGTGGAAAGCTGAATCAATCTTGAGCCCTGTCAGGATCAAAGTCCAGGCTGTGGGCAGAATTTGCCTGTAATACTACATTCTAACCTCTACCAAGTCTGCAGTCTGTAGAGGTTTAGTTGGGGAAGAAAAGGCTCAGAAACGTTCCTAACAAGTCTGAATGAGTTTGGGTTTGGGGATCATCTAGATGCAGAGAATTTCCACCTTTGGTTCTGGATATGATCTCAGAATTGAGGGTCCTCCTATACTTGCAGTCAGTCACACTCTCAGCCCAACTCACCTCACAGGTTAAAACATCTAAAACAATAAATTCCATATTCACCACAGCACAGTTTTTTCTGAAAGTCTTTACATACTTTGTGTTGCTGTTGAATGTGAAACTGATGTTTACCTCGTACAATTTTATATGTTTGATTGCTTTGGTTAGTAATACCTATGTTTTCGGTCATTTCAGGCATTTTTAGTTTTTACTACTCATCTGTACCTTTATGTAAACGTCTGTTGAAAAATTGTGTTCTCCTGCCTGATATAGTATTGTTTTGTGTGTGTTTCTTTTTTGAAGTTTGTGTACTACACTCTCTCTGCAATGGGAACCTGAAATTATAGCAGTTGCAGTTATGTATCTAGCTGGTCGCTTGTGCAAATTTGAAATTCAAGAGTGGACCTCAAAGCCCATGTACAGAAGATGGTGGGAACAATTTGTACAAGATGTACCTGTTGATGTCCTGGAAGGTACCTGAAATATCTTCGACCTAATACTTTTTGTTTTTATTGTTTGCATCTTATAAATTGCAGTTTTTTCTGATTAGAATATAAAGTGCTGTTTATATTCTTGTTTTGAAACTGCATGAAGAAAAGTTAGTTTACTTCCACCAAGTATTTATGTAAAATTATTGATAAAATTATTTGTATCAATGTTAGAAATGAAGCCAAGGCCAAAACTGAGGGTCTTTTCCCACTCCTTATATGTATTGAAGTCAAGATAATAATAAAGTCAGTAATTTATAATTAGTATACTTATATATTAAGAGAGGGAGAGCGAGAGAGCGCGCAGCACAGCTAAGAAAATGCACTAATAAGAGTAAGAGACGAACCTTTGAATTACAAAGAAAAAGAAATTGTAGTCCTCAAACAAATTCCTAGGAGAATAAGAGAATCCCGAAGAGAATACCAGTTTCTAACTAGGAAATTAATTGAAAAAGGAATGAATTTCAGATAGCTGATTCCAGAAGGGATTTTAATTTACTGGGATACGAAAAGATATAGACTGGACACGCCACTTAAAGCAATGGAATTCTTCAACAACCATAGAGCATTTTTGGAAAGAGATGACCCTGAATCCGGTACAAAGAGAAACAGGAAGAAATGGCAGTAGAAGGAGCAGTCAAACCAAGAGAGGAGGAAGAAATTAAAAACACATATACAGAAGAAGGAGCAAGACCAAGAGATCAGAGACAAATAAGATCAACTAGAAGATTAAGACCTAGATATAACTGAAAGAGATAGAGGAGAGTGGGATTTTGTTAATGAATATAAATGGACTAAATTCTCCTTCAAAAAAGAGAAAAATCTTTACATGATTACAAAAATTAAAAGTGGATATAATTTGTCTTCAAGAAACACACATTAAGAGACAACATAAGTTAGAACAGCTGAAAATTGGTAAACTTCACTTTGCATTAGCACTTCAAAAGAAAAGAGGAATAGCTTTATACATTAAAGAAATGATGAACCCCAAACAAAACTACATGGATGAAGAGGGGAGAATATTAATGGTGGAAATAATGATGGATCAAAAACAGATACTGATGGTAGTAATATATGCACCAAATGATAAACAAGAACAATTTTACCAAAAACTATATAAAAAATATTAGATTTAAACTATCAAAATCTTTGTAGAATGGGAGACTTTAATGCAATAACAGATGGAACTTTGGACTACAAAAGCACCAAATAAGGGAGAAAAGGAGGAAATATAGTACCTAAAGTGTTTTTAAAAATGACAGAAAAACTCTGTATTGAAGATATATGGAGAGAGAAAAAATCCAAAGAAATTACAATATACATTTTACTCAAATAGACATAAATCATGGTCTAGAATTGATATATGGACATCTTTGGAACTTAATACGATGATACAAGAAATTGAGATAGAAACTAATGTTTGGGCAGATCATAACCCAATAAAGATGACTTGGAGAGGAACTAAGAAAAAATTAAGATGGTCCTTGAATAAATCTATATTGAAAGAAAAAGAATTTTTACAACTAGCGACAAAGGAAATGGATTTTTTCTTCAAAATAATAAAGAAGAAACATCGCTTCAAAATGTATGGGATACGGCTAAAGCATATTTCAGAGAGTTGGCTTTAACTTATATTGCTAAAAAGAATAAAGAAAAGAAACAACAACAGTTAAAGTTGAAGGAAGAATTCAGAAAGTTAGAATCAGAATTACAAATAGATCCACAAAAGAAAATACTTAAGAAACAAATGGAGATAATAAAACATAAATTAAATTTAGCCGAGATGGAAATAATGGCTCAACAGATTAAAAGGGCTAAACAGAACTTCTTTGAAAATGCTAACAAGCCAGGAAGATGGTTAGCATATAGACTGAAAAAAGAACAAGAGAAAAAATTGATAAACAAGCTGCAAGATCCAAAAGGTGAATTACAGTTTCAAAGTGATACAATTAAAAAAAATATTAAAGATTATTATGAGATACTTTATAAGGCAGAGGAAATTCCAAAAGAAAAAATACAGCAGTACTTAAAAAAAGCAGACTTACCAAAAATTCCAGAGAATATTCGAAACATATTAAATGGAAAAATATCAATGATGGAGATTATAGAGGCTATAAAAAGGCAAAAAAGGATAAGACTCCTGGCCCAGATGGATTATCTGCAGAGTTTTATAAATCACTGCAAGATGTATTAAGTCCAATCTTGAAAGAACTGTGTAATAAAATTCTCCTGGAGGCTAAAATACCAAATACATGGATTGAAGCCAATATTACTTTAATACCTAAAGAAGATTCTGATTTAACGCAAATAAAAAATTATAGACCAATATCACTATTAAATTTAGATTACAAAATCTTCGCCTCAATAATGGCAGAAAGACTAAATAAATTTTTGATCAAATTTATACATACAGACCAAAATGGTTTCCTACCTAAAAGACAGATAAAAAATAATTTAAGAATGATTCTTGATGTGTTAGAGTACTATGAAATTCATTCAGGGAAAATAGATGGTTTTAATTTTCCTTGATGTACAGAAAGCATTTGACAATGTAAACTGGCAATTTATGTTTCAGCAATTTGCAGAAATAGACTTTGGAAAAAACTTTATAACTGTAATCAAAACAATTTATTGTAAACAAACAGCCAAAATAATTGTAAATAGAGATCTTACAGAAAACTTCAATATTAAAAAGGGCACAAGACAGGGATGCCCATTATCTCCGTTACTATTTATACTAACATTTGGAAGTACTGAATAGAAACATTAGACAGGATATAGAAATTAAAGGACTGGAAATAAAAGATGAAAAATATAAAGTACAAGCATTTGCAGATGATTTGGTTTTCATATTGGAAACAAGCCCCAAACTTCTGGAGAAAATAGAAAAATTTGGAGAAGTGGCAGGGTTGACAATAAACAGAGAAAAGACTAAAGAGCTAACAAAGAATCTAACAGAAAAACAAAAAAATCAACTAACAAAAAAAATCTTCAAATAGTTAAAAAAGTTAAATATTTGAGAATTTATCTAATAGCAAGATATATAACAAGAAAAGAAGATAACTGTGTAAGACTGCTAAAACAAATAAAATTGGATTTGGAAAAGTGGAAAAACTTCCAACTTTCAATGTTGGGGAGAATAGCAACAGTGAAAATGAATATCTTACCAAAAATATTCTTTATTCCAAACAATTCCTGTAAGGCTGGGGAAAGCCTTTTTTGATGAACTGAATACAATAATATTGAAATTTATCTGGCAAGGAAAAAAAGCTAGAATTAAAGTGAAAATGCTACAAGAAGCGAAAGAAAGTGGAGGATTTGGACTGCTGGACTGGAGGTTATACTACCAAGCAACTATTTTAACATGGCTTAAAGAATGGATAATGCTTAGAGACAAAAGACTATTGTACCTAGATGGGCATGACTTACAAATTGGTTGGCATACCTTTCTGTGGTATGGGAAGAATAAAATACATAGATACTTTCAAAACCATTTTATAAGGAATGCACTTTTTTCAGAATGGGAAAAAATAAAAGAAAAAAATTATATTAAGAAACCTGCATGGCTTTCAACAGTCGAAGCTTTTGCTTACTCAGATTTAATTAACTACAATAAAGTTGTGACTTATAAAGATATTTTGGACAATGAAGGAAAATTGAAAGACAGACAAGATTTACAAGAACAAGATATTGATCTAGCATGGTGGCCATATCTGCAAATTCAAACGAGATATGAAAAAGATGTTAAAACAATGGAATTTTATAAAGAACAGACAGAATTTGATCAGATACTGCTAAAACAGATGAAAAGTTGATTAAGAAACTCTATAGATTTCTGTTAAACTTAAAGATGGAGGAAGAATAAATAAAAGAAACAATGATAACATGGGCAAAGAACTTTGGATATAATATAGAATTAGAAGATTGGCAAAAGTTATGGGAAAGAAATATTAAATTAACTAAAGCAGTGGCATATAAAGAAAACTTACATAAAATGTTTTACAGATGGCATATGACACCAGTGAGATTAGCAAAAATGTTTAAAAATACTTCAAACAACTATTGGAAGTGCAAACAAAGACCAGGTACTTATTATCATATCTGGTGGACATGCCCTAAAGCAAAAAGATTTTGGGTTAAAATCTTGGAGAAAATGACTAAAAAAAAATAGACTTTAAACCAGAATTATTTTTGTTGGGAATAATAGGAGCTAATTATGAGAAAGATTGCAAATACTTAATACTACATGTACTAACGGCAGCAAGAATTGTATTTGCCCAACATCGGAAAAATGAAAATTTACCAGCTGAAGTACTAATTAAGAAAATTCTACAGTGTGCAGAAATGGATAGATTGATTTTAAAGATGAAAGAGAAAGAAGACTCAATGTACTTTTGAACATGGGATAATTTCTATCAATGGCTAGAAAAACGAGTTAGAGAGAAAGGAATGTGATATGTAATTTTGAATATATACTAGCAAGAAGAAGGCTATTGAGTGATTAATTAACATTGTTTATGATAATTATTATCTATTATTTGTTAAACACATGAACATAGACATTATGCTGTTTGCTAAATATTGAGAATGTTATTTGGAAAAACCCCAACCCTAATCCTAACCCAAATCCCAACCCCGACCCCACCTTCTTCCTAACCCTATAAAAACTAATAAAATCTATACCAAAAAAAAGAAAGAAAATGCACTAATATTAAGCTTTGTGGATTTTGGTAAAAACTGTTAAGATTGAATAAATATGGTATGACTTTGCAATTTTTCAAGAATGCATTTGGCTGATTGTTAAAATGTGTAACTTCTGGAATTCTTTCCCCCCCTCTTCCCTAGATATCTGTCATCAGATTCTGGATCTGTACTCCCAGGGGAAACAACAGATGCCTCACCATACCCCCCATCAGCTGCAGCAGGCTCCTTCCCTCCAGCCTACACCACAAGTGCCTCCAGCCCAGCAGTTGCAGCCTTCTCAGAGTTCAGAGCAGTCTCAACCCCAGCAGTCCAAAGACTCCCAGCAGGGAGGGACGCAGCAGCAGCAGCAGCAACAACAACAGCAGCAACAGCCACCACAAATTCAGCCACCCAAAAAACTCTCTCCCCAGTCAAGTCCTCTCAGGCAGACAAAGCGGCCTATGGTAAGAATCACAGAAAGAATGCTTTGTGTTACAAAATGTGTTACAAAAAGATATTCTTTATATTTGTCAAGGGGTTTCTATACTGCCTTTTAGTACAAAGAATTCTGAAATTTGATGACTCGGATTTATTGCTTATAAAGCACTACTAAAAAAGATGCTGAATGTGGAAAAAAAACATTTTTTAAAAAAAAAGTATGAATTGGAATGGATGTGAGTACAGTGCTAAGTAATTTCTTATCTCAGGATGGATCTCAGAAAACGCCAAGGGACAAATTCATCCAAGGAATATGATGTCATTGGAAAATGGGGAACGCAAATGATACAACATGCCTGGAACCTCAGACACTGAAAGGCTGAAGTCTTTAGCAGTTGTTACCAGTATAAAAATGATGATATTTTTTGCTTCTAATTATATTGTTTATTTCAAGAATTTAGATCCCAATCTTCAGTTCTTGAATGCAAGAGTAGATAAGATTCTTCCCCTGATTTACACTATTTGCAACCCAGATGTGGCTCAGAGTGGAATTTTTTTTCAGTGCTTTTAATACTGCTGTTGTGATTTGAATAGTAGTACTGATTTGTATTTTTTTCTTAGCAGGCTGTATCACCAAAGGACGAAACCAAACCTGCAGGTAAAATAACTTTTTTGTATAATTAAAAAAGGTACATATTTACAATACATTGCTATGCATGTCTGCTCTCAAGTACTATTATCCTTAAACTCTATAATTAAATTATTAGTTTCATTATTTCTAAAAAACTTTTTGCTATTTTTTTAATTGTTAAGTAAAATGTAGCATCTAATTTTTGTTTTGTTTTCAGAGGTGCCTCCTAAAATTGCTAAAATTGAAACTACTCATCCACCAGTTCCATCTGTGCATCCACCACCTGGTAAGTTCTTCTGTCACATAGAAAACACTATGTTTAATAGAAAACTAAAGATTTGTGTGTTGTGTAATTTTCTGAAAATTATAATTACATGCTTATCAATAATCCTGAGTTGTCAGTCTAAACTCAGCTGAATCCTGTACATCTGCCTATTTTTTATCATTTGGAAATAAAATTTAGAAATAGGGAACTCCACCTATTGCCTTGATTTCATGTTGACTTCTGAGTATTAATATAGGATGTTAAGAAGCATTGCAGCATTTGAGCTTAGAGCAGAATCTTCTTCTCCTTTATGTGGGAAAATATTTTGGCCCATGATACTAATACAGCCTTAATATTTTCTGAGCTGAATAGTGCCTTAAAGGACTAGTGATAGCAAATTTTGTTTTCAGACTATATTTTGCTAGAAAATAAGGAAAGGCATAATTCTGTTTTTTAAAAGTAATATATCCTTTCAATACAAATATTGATTCTGCAAAATAGTTATAAATTATGTATATAGCTACCTGCTATATTTTACTGCTTTCTATATATGTTCATTAATTACTGGAATTAGGAGATTGTACAACTGAGATAAAACTTGTTTGTATTTCTTTGATAAATTCTACAATTATTATGTATACCATGATCAGAAACTTTTACCAGATAGCAGCACTACTGCATGATTTTGCATGATGTCACAAATACTTCCTTTAAATATTAAAAATAGCTAAAGTAAGATATTGTGTAAAAGCCAAATCTTGAAAAATCTGATCTTTAAATCCCATCATGTGCATGTGCCATTGCAAAGTGGTTGGTCTTAGTGATAAACAGTAACTCATCTGTTACATTTTTAATAAACTTGGTATTAGCAAATTGCCAGAATTTTTAGATAAATTAGTTAAGGAATAAGTGGAATGACAACATTTATTATTTTTCTAGACTTTCTGTGACAGTCGTTTCAATGTATTTAAAGTTTGGCTGTTAAATGTTTGTGTAAATTAAAATATCCAGATACATTCAAGATCTCCAATGATCCCTTTTGACACCTCCTTTTGCACCCAACATATTCCCTGACTTTAAAAAAATTGTCACAGTTTTAATTTTATGACAGGGAAAATTGATATACTTTAAAGTAAGGCACCAGTTATTCAGTATCATTTTTACCTCAAATAATGCTATAGAATGACACTTAAGCTTTTTTTAGAAAATAAAAATTTGCTGCTATAGTTCAAAGTTTTGTTTGGAAATGTGGCCACCTATCCAGAGGACAAAAGAAAGAAAATATGGAAGTGTCTTGCAAACAGGCAGATCCATAGGAACTGGCAGACAACATATTAATAATCAATGCTTTACAATTAGTTATTCCCCCTTCCCCCATCACAACCATTTTTCAAGAACATCTTCATAGAATTCCAAATGTATTCTTCAACTGATGGGGACTGTTCACTGGCATGAAACTTTCCCCCTAAATACTGAGGCGTGTAAGAGAAAAGCAAAACGTATACTTTACTAGTTTGGGATTCCTTTTCTAATTATGGGCTACTTTCTTTGTTAATGTAATGTCCTATGTTGGCAGGTTTTTTTTTCTCCTCAAAAACTGCAAGGGATCAAAGCAAAAATTTGGCTTCAGAATCTTTTGTTAGTTTTCTGATGCTTCACCAGTTGTAGATGTTTCATACGAAGACTTTAATTGTTTTAATACCATTTGACTCTATAGATAGGTAAAATAATGTACATATTTTCTACTGTTTTTCAGAACATAAACCTCCATTGACAACTGCAGTTTCCATAGGAACTGATCAAGCTACTGCAGTAGATTCTGTAGACATAACCAAGGTCCAGATTGCTCCACCATCTCATCCAGCTCCTGTACATCAGCCACCACCTATGCCTCATCGTCCCCCACCCCCACCCCCGCCTTCCAGCTATATAACCGGTATGTCCACTACTAATTCATACATGTCAGGAGAAGGGTATCAGAGTCTCCAATCAATTATGAAAACAGAAGCACCAACTTATGGAGCTTTACCACCCACTTATGGACCTCCAACTCATATGCCATATCATCATGTTTATCCTCCCAATCCTCCTCCTCCTGTCCCTCCTCCTCCACCAACATCATTCCCTCCACCTACCATTCCTCCTCCTACTCCAGGATATCCTCCGCCACCTACCTATAACCCAAATTTCCCACCTCCTCGGTTACCTCCCTCTCATGCAGTCCCACCTCATCCCCCTCCAGGACTTGGCATGCCACCTGCAAACTATCCCCCTCCCACAGTGCCCCCTGGTGGACAGCCACCTGTACCACCTCCAATACCACCCCCTGGTATGCCACCTGTTGGAGGACTTGGCCGGGCAACTTGGATGAGATAGCAGTTGTACATAGCATCTTTTTTGTCTTGGGCGAGGTGGACATTATTATAATCAGATAAGGATATAGAGGCTTCTGTTTGGAAATATAGAGGGCAATGATATTGGTTTGCTTAAGTTTGATCAGCAGAAAACAATACAGTTTAAATATTACAAAGCTAACTAAAATTTAAGAGTTTTGTTAATTGTAGTGGTGAATTACTTTGCAGTAATAACATATTTTGAAAGCCACATTGGCTGAGTTGTATTGGTAAGGAGAAGAAAAATAGAAAAGTATATGCCTACTTGAATATCAGGATTAAGGTTATTCCAGATGAAAGGGGGGAAAAACTCTTTATGATTTTATTACATAACGTTCCAGCAAAACTTTGCTCTAAGTTGCAGTACCAATTTATTTCATGCCTCTCTGTGTATATGTGTGGATACATACATACAACCTCACTTTCTGCCATTGTTATTTTGGAATGAATGTTCAGGCTTAATTGGAAAATTTCTGTATATACATATATTTTCAAAATGTAAAAAAAAAACCTCTAATGGCATACAATGATTTACATTTTTGTTGTTTCTGATTCTTGAAAAAGCTGTGTTGAAATGTATCCAAATAAACCTGTTTCTGAAAGCTGAAATTTTCTTACTGCTTTTCAGTGCTGCTTTCCCTTATTCCCCATGCCAACTTCCCCCTCTAAATGAGGTACCTAGCTTGGTAATACATGTTTTCTCCAAACAATTTCTACATTCAATTTCTAGTCCTTTTGCATCTGCTTTTGTCCTATGCTGCTCTTACATGCATATTTACCTGACAGTATTCACCACGATGTGTAGCGATATGAGTTAACGTATTTAGCATTACATATTATATGATTGAAAAGAATATTGATCCAACAGAACTCGAGAGGATGGTCCACATTTCTCCATCTAATGTTTAGCTTAATGTTAAAATATGCAATATAATGAATGAACAATCACAGATTTAACTAAAATTGTAATTTTATGTTGATTTCTAAGTATTTTAATATTTTTCAACTTCCCCAAAATACAATCATGGTACAGCTCCCTTACAAAGAATGCATTTTATTATCTTCAATGGATTGCATACACTACCACAAACCCTTAATTTTTACTAAAATATTTCAAATGAAGGTTTTACACACTTAAAAAGTCTTTAAATTTCCACCCTCCCTGCCACAAAAGGAGTGCTTCAGTAAAAGATATAAATGTGTGCTAAAATCTAAAGACATTGCTTATATACTATACATGAGCACAGGTGCTAATTTACTTTTTCCAATCATATATAGAAAATATGGCAGGGTTGTAAGATCACAGGTTTAACAGAAATCATAATTTCATACTTATTTCCAAAAGCAGCACAAATAGACTCTTTCCCCACATTATGAAAAATATACAATTTTATCACTTTACAGTCATGCTCTTTGTTTGAAAAACAAAATCAGTACTTTTTTCTCTATTCCAGTTTCTAAAAAGGTAAAAGGTCACTTTAAAACATTGTTTGTTTTTAATTGCTATCTTTTGGGTAAACATTTGCCTTTTAAACAAGATTATAGTGTTTTACCAAAAAGGGCAAAGTGCACCTGAATTTTATCCAATTTCAGTATGTTTTTTCCCCAGGAAAAGCAACCAATTGCTTAAAAATAGAGCAATAGGAAGGGGAAGAATCAAACAACAGGAATTTTATTTTGAAGTTGATATAGACTGAATAAAAAACTTTATGAAGCAGGTAGTTAATGAACATTAATAAATGGGGTGGAAAAATGAATATTACTACAGCATTGTATTTCAGCCTACATTTCCTTCTACATCATAATTCAGAGTGCATTTTTTTCCTTTTAAAATTACTCAGCTCTATAAAACAGCCTTCTCTAAGACAGTTGTTTTCCCTGGGAATAGATCTGGAAGATGTGCAGTAGGTTAGGAAGTTATAGTGTAAAATAAACCATTGTCCAAGGAAAACAATTTTAGCTTATTTCAAGCTAAATATAAAATAGCAATTAAAAAATACACACAGCACTGCATCTGTAGTGTACAATTTGTAATTTGCATATATTTGGAAGTACTTTGCATTGTCATCTACAAAAATTTCACTTAATACTATCGTGGAGTTACAATTCTAGAGGACTTTGCAATTTATTCATCTTATTTGTATGGGTTTGGTTCCACAAACATGTAATTGTCACTTTAATATATTTACTAAATACTGAATAATTTTTCATTTTATTTTGGCATGTTGAGTCACTCTATGCTTCACCTTGGTTTTGATTTCCCTGTTGTGTTCAAAGCATCTGAACGTGCTTTTGAAATACATTAAAATTCAGATTTTTTTCTTCAGCTTTTAGGTTCCCCAGTTGATTGGCATAAGTCCACTAAAATAACAGATTGAGCTGTTATGCCTGTAATATACTCAAGTACACGAAGCCACTAATCATTGTTATTATAATTAGTCTTATGGTCAACCAGATGTTTAGACTGGATCTGGCATGTTACCAACCTATTGAGTATTATTTATTATTATTTCCTCATGTGGATTGTACCTGCACCTCATAGTCATATTGGAAGCCGTTCAAGAAATGTACAACGGCAATAGGAACAGAATAAAAAACTCCAGCATCTAAGAGAATGTCTACTATCCTTTTCACCTTACATCATTCCTCTATGGAACTCAAAAGCAGCATACTGTATATGAAGTTCCCAAGACAGACTCCCAGGCAGGCACCAATCACATATGCATTCAGACCAGATCTCGATTTTGGCATAGTATAATATGAATTATGAACCCAACTATTGAGATATATAAATCATGATTTATTGCTTCACGTGTGTGAAGCCAGTTTATTCAATAAGCAAATATAACTTTTGTTTCAGAACATGAATTTTCCTCTTGACTTAAAAATACTTTGTTGTTTTAGAGGCCTTTTGCAACCATCATTAACCTGACTCCACAAACAGATCAATCAAACCAATATAAATCTTAAAATACTGGAATGAACTCTATATCTCAAAGGATATAGAACAGAAGAGAGACTGATAGCCAACTAAATAATAGCACTTATAACTTTTGTTCACTTATAATAAGCTTTTTTCATGAAATGCATGAAAAATCCTTCTTATAACTTAACAAAATGCCAACAGTTGTCAGCAAAGTGTTCCAATAATAAAATTACCAGATTGGTTGTACATGATGCATACACTCAATTTGATTTCTGACAGACTTATTTTTGCAAAAAAAACATGCTCCATCAGCAGCAGTGGGAACACTTGAATGGCCACTATAGGGAATATTTTTTTTCAAATGTTAGAAATTCAGCTGTTTTTAGTTCAGCTAAATCAAAATATAGGATGTTTTGCACATTTAATGTCCTAACTTCAATTAGTTATACATGGAAAATGAAAAATATGTGAGGGTTGGTGTCTAATGTATGAATTCCTTAAAATGAATTAACTACAGTAACTTACCGAATGCCCTTGGTAGGAAAAAGAACCTAGAGCAGATAAATTTTATACATTAACTTTGTTTATCAGTGTTTTCTGCAGCAATGAGCTTAGAGCAAGGAACTGTGTATATAAGCATGTAGTAGGCACATGCATGGGACCACAACTAGGACATAGGACCACCCTTGTTCCCAAGCATTTGACCACTTTATTCCATTGCATTTTAGCAGACAAATAATAATTTGTATGCTGTAAACCAAGCTATTGGTTATTTGGACCACTCCTGATCTTCTGAAATCTTCTTTTAGTAGCCTACCCAGATTCTCTGATAATATTCACATTAATTATAGATCGTTGAAAACTTCAGTTGTTCAGATTGTAAGTTTGTATTATAAATTACTTAAGGAACAGGGAGGTTTTCACTGATACCTTTTCCTATAATGAGACAAAATAAGAAAGAGGAGGTTCACTATTTGCTCCTTAGAGTACTGAATGGTTGAGATCACAAAAAACTCTCAAAGTGGCTGGTATAGGTATAGTATGGACTTGCAAAACCAAAAAGGCAGGCTGTAATGAGAAGGAATAAACTTGGATAGGAGGAAGATGCACAACCAAAATAATGCTCAGATGAAATAAATGTGAATCTGGGCAGAATCTGTAATTTGAAAAGTCACCTCAAACAGGAGCCTTCCTAGTTCTCATGAAGATAAAGGAGGGAAGAGGAAAATCTATTCAGCCTTGCAAGACTTGGTTACTGTAACCTTATAATACAATTAGTATTAGCATTTAAAGTTCTGGTTTCCTAGTCTTATCTACCTTGAAGGGTTGACACAGGCAGAAAGAGATCAAGAAGAAAAGAATATAGTCTTTCTGAAAGAAGGTACTTGAGAGAGATCCTGAAACTTGAGTAGTGGACTAGGTGAGTTCTTAATAAAAAATATTCCAAATAAAGAGCATTCACTAAAAATACATCCAAGTAAATGAACAATAATCAAAGAACTATGAAACCAGATTGCCAAAGGTGAAGTTGTAGCATATTCAAATTTCACATTTCTGCACAAGCAGCATTTAATTTACAGATTTCTTCTTGTCAAATGATGTTACACAACTGGGATCCAGTGGCCAGTTAGGTGTTGCATTATACGGTTTTAGGAAATTTACAATTGGAGAAGATTGATTTGGTTGATTAGCAACAGCAGCAGCAGCAGCAGCAATTCTCACGACAATCACTTCCTGATGTAACTTAACTGATTCTTATTCTATATCTTTTCCAAATACTGTAACTAGTTCTGTATTCTCCCACTTATTTCTAAGATACCAGATCAATATTATTTTAATAAGGGACCATGATTTTTTAAATTTAATATATTAAAAAGACAAGGCTAAAAGAGACATTGCAGGAACTGTTTACGTGTTATATTTTTCTAATGTGGAGTTAAGGTCAAAATAAGCAAAATCACAGCTGGAATGGGACAACTTGCCACAGTCAATTCACCGTGGCCACCTCATCACAGCCAACTCACCATGGGACAACTCGTCACAGGGCAATTTATCAATTCAAATTAATCATTTAAAATAAATTAAAAAATGTTTTAATTTTTGTTGTTCAGATTTCATTTTGTCCCTCCTTTTGCATCCTTTCTTTAATGATTCTATTCTACCATTTCTTTGATATTAATGTAACTCTTGTCCTGCAGTGAGTTGGCCACAGCGAACTGTCCTTTCTCATATATACTGGAGGTTAATGCAAAGGAATGAAGGACTTGTACATCTTTAGCAACAATGTGAAGATTTGCAGAGCACTTGTTCAGTCAAGTGCTGCACTGCCTACTGCCTTCTCAGAGAGTATCTTATCTAAGAACAGACCAAAATTTGTAATTGGTATTGACAAGGCTTATGTGCTTCTAGTAATTGGGTAGAAAAATTGTCAATGCCAGGTATAGATTTTGGCCAGCTCTTAAATCAAACACTCCTCTCTTTTTCCTCTTCACTGCTCATTTACTTAGTATTTCTGTGGAGCCTATCTGCATCCTTTCCCAGAAAGAAAGGAAGGATGAAATATGCAGAGATGCTCATTTCTTTCTACTCTTCCTCCAGTGAGGGATAAGCAGGCAGAAGCAGCAAAGAAGCGGCGAGAACATTAAGGTGTAGGACAAATGATGCTGAGCAAATGGCTCAGGTCTGAGATCTGCTATTACTACAGTATCACCCAAAGTAAAGACTGGTGACCCACCAAGTTAAAGACAGCCTAACAATTATACATTATGGTTTGTCAGATTTTTGACAATCAAGAATGTGTTGCTAGAATATTCAAAGCATAGCCTGATAAAAGTTGTTTGCACCTCAGATTTGTCCTTCAAAAATAAAATCTAACCCTACAAATCTCTGAGAAAACTTCTCTCAACAGACTTGAACAATGACTAATTTAGGTCCTGGTGAATTCCTTGGTATTTTCTAAAATCATACAACAGAGAAGTCTTTCTCAGACAAGTGCCCTACATTTGCAACTCAAATAATTTCTAGTCAGCATGCCGGGATTGGTAGAAGTTGCCGCCAAATTGGGGAAGACTGCTTTGGGCAGCCACTACTGCCATGCAATTCCATGAGTAGGCTAAAATAAGGCAGTGGAACTGCTCAGAGTTCTTTTCTGATATTCTACCTAGAAATCATTGGGAGTCAAGTATGTATATATGACCATACAGGAAAGTGGGGATTTCATTACAATACAAATGACAGAGATTGGCCACGAGAGGGTAGTCATTAACCCATGTATCATTATTCTGGATCAGGACAGCCCGCAAGCTAGGCCTTTAGCTGCCTTATTTACACTATGGACACAGTTAAAGGAAATGGGAGGAAAAGATAATGCTGGCAGCCAGAAGCAAGGAAGTTCCATTGCCTCAGATTCTTTTCACTTCCAGTCTTGCAGCTTGAGGTGCTTATAAAGGACCCTTGAACTGGTTTCCTGAAAGATGTTGCCTGATTGATGGTTTGGAGCTTGCTGCATCACCTAGTTTTCGCCAGACAACCTACGAACAAGAAAAAAAAAAACAAAGTACAATTTGTAAACAGGAATCAAGTTTTCCAAAAAACAGAACTGCCGGCAAGCCTGCAGCTGTTGAGTTCTGGTCATACCTTGTTGTTACACTAGGAGGCATTCAGGTCCTAACATAATTTTAGTCTTCAGGGTTTTTTTTTTAAATAGTAATTTTATTGAACATTACAATTAAAAAAGAACTAATACTGTACAAATTAAAAAAATAAAAAGTAAAAATAGAAAGTGCAGAAAAGAAAAAAAATTAGTAAAGAGAAAAAATATATATATAAAAATGACTTCTCCCTTCATAACAACTATAAACAATTTTCAGTGTAATTTAATCTCGGTTAAAAACAATAAATTATTTTCCCATATCTCATCTCTTATCTATAAACCTTTAAGGCCTTGTTGTTCAATCCTAGTCAGCAAAATTCACCAAAGATTACCAGAGATAACATATCTACCTTAACCTTGATCAAATAAAACAACTTCATATTCATTTATTTTACTTTAATAATCTTGATTTATTTTATACTCCTTCCTTTTAGTTTAACAACAGTATTCTCCCATGAGAACAATTCTTATAGTTTCAAAATCTTCAGTCCTTCATTTTGTCCATTGAAGTTGATCCAACTCTTTAGTTTTAAGTGCTGATCTTGTTAAAATGTCCTAGCATTAGATGTTTCTCAGTAAATTAGGGACTAAATTAGGCAAATTTGATCTGACACTACATCAGTAAATTAACCTAAATTGAATTTAGTGTTAGGACAGCTTCTAGCAAAATTGCAAAAATAATATTCCATGTCAATTATTAATACCAAAAAATTGGTGGCAAAACATTACATGTATCTCTGATATTTTAGTTCTCTTGCATTATAAATCCCTGAACGGTTAAAAGAAAGAAGAGCAGTTTTAGGGCTGACTCCAGGGCTTTGTGGTGGTAGTTTGAAAAACCTGTGTAGCAATTCCTCCCCAGGAGAAAGTTTTGATTCTGGACAGGAAAAACATGATCATTTGGGAGGCTGCATTACTATTAACTGTCCTGACCAGGCAGCAGCTTCCAACTATTTTTTTATTATGCAGAGTACTACTGTCAAGGTCTCCTTCAAGTTGGAAGGCTCAGGAGAACAAATGTCTGTATAAATGCCATTCTTGGGAACTGGGAAGCAATCAAGCACTGAGGCTTACTCATCCAAAATAGGTGCAGGACAAATTTGACCTTCTAAGCAACCATCCAATGCAACAATGTGTTGCAAATCCTGACTCTTCAAGAAGTAACCCCCCTTAACTTTTGTTGGTTCCTTGAAAGGCAAAAGTGGTAAGGGCTTTAACTGAGCCTCATCTGCATCAGGGTATGCCAATGCAACAGCCAGCAACCGCCTGTTCAGTTAGGAAACATTCCACTCTCAGCACCAAGCTTTCATGTCTCTGGATCCCATTGCTATCTGAAACTCCCAATCAGGCTTGGCTGACTACCTTTCTGTGATGCACTAACTTTTGGACTGCTCTTGGGCTACATTTAACATGCACTGCCTTGAACTGTCACAGATAAAACTTTCCTATTTAGCATTACTAGTGTGTGCAAGCATTTGCATATTCCAGGGCTCTGCCTGCCAAAGCCTGTAAACATTTGCAAACTTGAAAGTAAAACAGTTCACAATCCAACTCCAAGCATGTGTTCAACCTGAAACAGGGCAAGTACAGCATCATCAAAAGCTTTGGAGGTCCTCCCAGAAGCTAGTAGTTAGGAAACCATTTCCATGGCATGCATGCATGATTATTTTTGTGCTCCTCCCTTAAATTTTGCATTTGGATTATCTTATTTGGGTGTTTGTACAGTATCTTCATAAACCAGCAGTTGTCCTGAAACATAGGTTGGGAACCATGTGGCTCAAAGCTCACATATGGGAATTTTAAACATCCCTAGGCTCCAGACATACCTGGCTAGACAATATTCCTATGCTCTCTAAATCAATTCCAAAAGAACAATAAACAAGGAAATGCCAGCAGCATTCCTGCCAAGTAGTTTGTCATTACGACTTTCAAATAACATACTTATTTTAAAGAAATTGAGCAAAGGAAACTTGTTAAGGTGTGGCACATTCCATCCATTTGAAATGATAGTTTTGGTGGTTGTGTAAGTAAAGTATTCTGCAGTTCTTCATATCTTTAAGGGATTAAATACAGTACTTGCAAGAGCTAATACAGTGCACTGGTCTTGAAAACTACATTGGTTTAACGGAGGGCTCCCAAAGAACTTTGGGGGGACTGTCTTTGAATATATTTTGCTCTTTGAGGCAAGGAATAAACAGCATTTTTTACACAGCATATGTAAAGAAAAGCATGGTTTTGTGTGCATTGTTTTAGCTCGTGGCTCTTTGCCATGACACTGTCATTCTACAAAGTTACAGTATTTACATCCTACAAGTATTATTCATTTCCCTATCAACAGTGTCTTGTTTTCTTTAATTCCAGTAGAACAAGACGGTTCTCAAGAATAATGGTTTCTATGGGTGATCACCAGCATTGTGTGCTTACGCCATTTGAATTTTCTGAAAAGCACACTCACAATACAGTAGATAACGAGAATGGGTACAATCAAAATAACTTATACATTAAATCTTACCCAGACTTCCTCAGGGTTGGACACAATGGGACTCATTTCCAAATCAAGAGTCACAGTACTGAGCAGATTGTACAATCCTATGAACTTCACCTAGGAACAAGTTGCATTTGGGGGGGGCTAGGTCTGAAATTATACCCATCACTTAAAAAAAGGTGTGTTCGTATTTTAAAACACACTCCTTTGCCCTTTTCTTAATAGAAAAAGACCCACTTTTACATTTTACAAGCAAAATTTTATCCCATAGAACAGGAGTCTTCAAACTTGGCCCTTTTATGATTTGTGGATTTCAGCTCCCAGAATTCCTCAGCCAGGCACGCTAGCTGAGGAATTCTGGGAGTTGAAGTCCACAAGTCATAAAAGGGCCAAGTTTGAAAACCCCTACCATAGAAGTACTCCTTGGAATACAACCACAATAGAGACCAGAAAATTTATTGTTAAGCTACACAGTCATTAAGTGAGGCAAATGTTACTGACCAGCTTTTTTGCCATTTGGTCATTAAACAAGACATGCAACTGGCAACTTGCTACCTTCTTTGCCGACTTCCCCATTGACCTGCCAGCTGGGAAAGTTGTAAAGGGCGATCACACAACCACAGTGCACTAAACCATCATAATGCACAACAGTTTCTAAGTGCCCAAATCATGATCATGAGACCACAAGGAGGCTGCGATGGTTGAAAGTGTGAAGACCGGTTATAAGTCGCTCTTTTCAGCACTGTTATAACTTTGAATGGTTGCTAAACAAATGATTGTAAGTTGAAGACTACTTGTAAAACACCCACATACCCTCATCCACTCTGGATGGGAACACTGAGGTATGCACCCTTTCAGTAAAAGTGTCAAACCTATGCATGTCTCCTTGTATAGACAGTCTAAAATAAGCAGGGTATGAGTGGATTCTCTCTACATATATACACACTGCATTTAGGTTCATCTATACACCCTTCTTCCTCTGGCTCCAAAATGGGCTATTTACCATTTTCAAATGCCATTTCTTCACAAGGGAGCCTTCATCTTAAGGCCACTCTGCTGTTGAAGCAGTTGAAAGCTAGGAATGGGGTACTTATCATTGCAAAAGAGAAGAAAACCACCTCTGTTCTAACATTCCATGTTGCTTGGAGAAGAGGCCACAAGTCTCCTGCATCCATGGCTGCTGCTGTTCTGGCTGTTAAAGAAAACAGCTTTGCCTGGCAACCAAAATGTACCTGTCTTCCTGACTTTGGCAGGAATCTCTACCCCCATCATTGTAAGGGACAGCTACCTTGCCAGCAGTGGTGGGATTCAGCTGGTTCGCACCACTTCAGCAGAACCGGTAGCTAATTTTTTGTTGCCCAGGCCCAGAATGGACTTCCAGAGGCGGCATCCACACAGAGAACTGGTTGTTCACATATTTGAATCCCACCACTCCTTGCCAGTCTTGATTCTGAGGTACAGCAATTTCCCAAAGGATGGGCCTTCCTCCTGTCTCAAGAATGGGAGGAAGGTACATTGCAGAAATGTGGGGAAAGTCCAAAGAGACAAGGAGCTGGCCTGTTGTCTTTTCTCTTCATCCCCGGTTTTACAGAGTGAGATGTGTGATATAGGCTCTCCCAAACATTAATTAGAATAGCCAAGCAAAGCACCCATCCATATCCACATTCACACCAACACCACAATGTCTACTGATGCTACCTATTTGGGTGCTAGAAACAAAGCAGAAGCACAGGAAAAATGACAAAACAGTATGGGCAAACATTGGATGAATCAGGGCTTGTCCCATTTTGAAACTGTCACCCAGTCTACATGGGTGTAAGCCATTACTTTTACAGAAAGTAATGAAAAGTGGAGACTGTGCACTCCACCCGCAAAGAATACAACAGAAGACTTTTTCTCTGCTTCAAAGTGTATTCTCTCAGAATTTGTTACAGTACCCGTTTACTGGTACTTTGTGTGATTAGTATCATGGTCTTGTTTCATAGTTTTTATTTAGTACCTTAACACGTTTTTTGGAGATGGAGACAGATGGTTTGGACAGAGTCGTACAAGAGCAGGGCAAAATAAGCATTGATGTTTCTTCCTCCATGTCTTTAAATTCTCTTCTTTTCTTATGCTACGGATTTTTACTCTCTTTCTACTGTACTCTCTTTCATCTTTCACCTTTTTCTGATTATTTGTTTATGCTTCCTTACTCCGAGGCTGTTTTCAGTCAGTTTTTGATTGGGAGGGAGAGGTCTGATTCTCGGCCCCTAGTTTTCCACAGGTATAGGTGCTTTCTCAGCTCCTGTTTAATATCTACATGAAATTGCTGGATGAGATCATCCATCACCATGGAGTGAGATATCATCAGTATACTAATGATAGTTGTACATTTTTGTTAAGAGTTGCTGCAACTGCCCTTAACTGCTGCAACAAATCAAGATTTGAGCATGTATCACTTCTTTTATAAGAGCTGCTTTGGTTACTTATCTGTTTCCAGATGCAATTCAAAATACTGGGCTATCACCTTTAAAGCCCTACATTGCTTGGCCCCCAGTTATCTGAAGGACTGCCTCTCCCCAGTTGCCCAGCCCACTAGAGCAGCAAGGCAAGGTGGGCTGAGAGTCTCATCTGTTAGGGAGGTACATTTTGTAGGATGAGTAAAAAGACCTTCTCTGTGATGGCCCCCTCCTTTTGGAACATCTTTCCCTCAGAGAGAAGATTGGCCTCCACCTTTTTCTGGAAGACCCTGAAAATGTGTTTTTTGCAGGGACTCCTTGATTAGATATACCTAGGACTTCATTGTCACTTGCTTTGTAACCTGTTTTTTCTTCAGATTGTGAAGACAACAATTAAATAAATTTGCACAGACAGAACAGATCCTACAAGATATTGAACAACATCAACACCACAAGTAGAAGTGAATAGCTAACACATGAAAGACTGTGAAAATGGATTCATTACATTGCACATTTCACGAACAATTGCTTTCTCCTTTTCACTCAGGTCTTCTTCATAGTTTTCTTGTATCTGCCTGTCCAAATTCTCATGGACTTCAAGGACCTACAGACAAGCACAATGGAGATGAAATTATAAAATATGTCACATTGTGAGTCATTACAGCCTAAACAGAGCAAAATCTCAGAACATACACAGAGATAGAGAGAGAAAGAAAGCGAAGGGGTAAAGACTGAAAAGATTACAATGCTCCAATAAAATATTATGAAAGTCTTTCATCCACATGCCATGTAGTTCTAAATTAATGATTGGCAAGGTAGGAGATCCAGGAAAGTATGTAATTGATATTTATCATTAGATAAACATGTACACATCAAGCACATTTTACTGCATTCTACTGATACAGTTAAGACATTAGGTACCTCCCAACACTGAAAAAAACAATACAACACACAAGATTTCAAGATGTGCTGATAATGAATTAGGGAGACCAGTGGTTTAACTCAGTTCCTATATTGCTCCTGCTGAAAATTATTTAAAATGAATAAAGTTCTTCATTGCTATATAAAGATTTGGAAAATACTAAGTGTGGGGCCCATTCATGGAAAAGCTAAGACTTGGTAGTAAAACCCATACATTCATTACATTCTTTCCTCAGGAAACATTTGTGAACCTAGGAGAGTTGCCATCAGTCAGTACAGCACAGCCTTCTTCAACTGACAACTCATTTGTATTGGGATCAGAATATCCACAATTTTCAGCTAGCTTCAAGACATCTGGAAAGAAGTTTGGAAAAGACCAATGTAGATATAGTTCTAAGCTTGGGAGAAAAAAGGAGTTTTCTATGTTTTCACACTCAAATCATTTTCTCAGAGAGGATTTTAATCACTTTTGAATTGAAACTTTTACAAGTTTGATGATAACCTCATACTCTTTGATTGGCTTAGATACTAACTATACTGCCTTGAAGGAAAGGAGAGATATAATATTCATCAATTTCCCCTGAAGTCTGATTATTCCTTAAGTTCCCATAGTAATAGATACAAGCAGGATTGCATGAGAAGGATGTCCAGTGAAAGAAAACCTGTCACGTGCTTGTTCTTGCCAGCGGAAACAAGCTGGGTGCTACACTTAAGGAGCATGTTTCTATGATTTTTGTTATACCAATCCTATTACTGTATTATAAGCCCATTCAATAGAGTTTTAAAATTAATTTTATTGAAGAATTTTACAAAATAGTAATAATTATACAAATTTGAGAAAAAGAGAAAAGAGTAAAGAAAAATATGTGTAAAGAAGAGGAAAAGGAAAAAGAAACGTCTTCTGATCTTATTTATAGCAGTTACAAATACATTTATCATCTATTTTTCATCTTGAGGGTTACATCATCATTCCCTTTATGCCATATTTACCCTTTCTAATCATCAAATCCATAAATCATTTTTTTCCATTTTCAATAAAAAAAGCCATAAAGGGTTCCCAGTCAAACATACTTAGGATTACAAGCAACCATTTCTGCAAATTCTGTCATTTTCCCTAACCATGCCTCTCTTGTAGGTATTTCCATATTTGTGCATATTGTCCATAACTCACAACCAAAAAAATCTTCTTTCAGCTGAATGTTAATCTTTATAATTCTTTATATCACTATATGCATTTGGACCTAGAACCTTTTAGCTTTTTTTACAAACCCACCATGTGTGATAAAATGACCCTTCATATCTTTCACATTTCCAACATAAATTTGAAGTGTTTTTATAAATACTTGATAATTTTTCTCGTGCCATGCACCAACAATACATCATTTTGTAAAAGTTCTCTTTTAAGTTATAACATAAAGTAAAAATCAGTCCTTTCTGCTATATCTTCTTCTATTGGTCTATATATATATATAAAATATAACTGAACTTCTTGGCTCATTTTATCATGTATTCTTTAAATTCTTCCATTTCAAATTTCAATAAAATTTATACATTTTAGCAACCACATGTTCATCGTTTGTACATACTGCAGTCTCAAATTCCATCTTGTATAATTCAGCTCCAGTTGTCTTTTTGTCTAAGTTAAAAGTTTTCTATTAAACACCTATTTACCAGATGTTGAAGACAAATAGTAAGGTACAGTATAGTTTTTCCTTGTGTTCTGCTTATGAATGTCTCATTTAATCAATCACTATTAGAAAAAGCATGGCAGGCTAGGAGGCCATTTAGTATGATTTTGTAAATGATAGTAGCAGTAACATGTGTATTCAAGAAAAGGCTACTTTACTAATCTTCCTATGCCCTGAGGTATAGTATCCCAGGATGTTCTGAAAATATGAATTTCTACTTCTTAATACTTGTACTTACTTTAATACTTATGTTCTATTTGTTTCTCTCTCTTGTGGATTTTATTTTAGGAGGTGCCCACCTGAGAGAGTGGCTATATAAATAACTAAATGCCCACACAAATAATAAAGATATGGAAAAGAAATGTGCTAAAGTAAAATGATACAAAGCAAAAAAAAAAAAAAGTCCCCTTGGTCTTCTCTGGCTCAGAGAATGATGGAAGATAAAACTCTTATGTCCAGCAGGTTCACAGTCCTGTCCTAAGACCCAGGCTCTGCTAAGGGTCCATTTCTGAGAAAATTCCCATTTTGTTATTCTAACCCACGGGTGTCAAACTCGTCACGTGATGTGTCGCGACGTATCGCAACTCTTTTTGCATTGCCAGGAATGGGGTGGGCGCGGCTTTGGTATGATGAAACCGGCCCATGGGCCGGCAGTTTGACACCCCTGTTCTAACCTGTCGTGGTAAATATATTGCTTATATTTACTTATCAATGATCAGAAACATTTCTCTAGAAAAAATTAGTTCACAGAATCACCCACTCTTTCTTCCAGGTGACTGGCCTTGGAATATGTCTTAAAGATGAATACTGTAACATATATTGGAAGTAGAAAGTAGAGAACCTCCTACAAGACAATGGAAAACGTGCTGTTGCTTTCGAAAAAGTCAAAGACCTAAAAATGTTATATATACAGAGGCAAACTAGACTTTCTTGCCATGACAAGTATCTTCCACAATAGCACTACATCATCTTGTATAATCAGACCAGGAGAGGATGCTACAGATTCCTTTTCTTTGGGATATTAGACGGGTAGGAAATCAGAGCCAGGAATTTTTGTTGGTAACACCTACTAGTTATCATCTGACATTTGGATAGTTCCCCATTCACATGTTTGACTGAAGATCATGCTCCTCTGGTGAACATTTGGAGTTTAAAGAGCTCTTTTAAAAACATTTTTAGTTTTGTCATTGAATTGATCATAGGATACTTTGTTTTTATAATTTTATGTGAGTACCCCAGAATTTATTGGATTGGGGCAAGATATAAATTCTATGATAAATACATACATTCTGGTTGCAAAACCTAGTATGATTTTTCTTGGATTTCAAAATGGGGATAACATTGTAATCAATTTTGATTCAAATCCACATAACGAAGTGTGTAAAATATACTTTCCAAAATTACATGTCATTTCTCCATGATATAACTGCACGTTGATTGCTTAGAATTAGACTAGTACTGTATTTCCTTTTTCCTGCTTATTTTTTAAATCCTCAATTACAAAATTGGGTCATTCGCTTACTTAGTGTAACCTACTTTAAAACTGTATAACTCACTAACTTAACTGACATTAAGATCGTTGTTTGCATGACTTAAACTAATTCAATCTGTTGCTTTCCTTTTTTAATGAGGCAGGATACAAGGAAAACAAGAGGGATTTATTGACAAATAAAACTAGGTCTTTAATGAAAAGAAAATAATTAATTGTTGATCCATGTGGGTGCAGACTGTGCCACTAACTCATTTGGCCTCCATATGTCTTCCATATACTCAGCTGTGTGGATAGTCAAAGCTCAGAGTCAGAAATGGCACACTGGCAACCGACTACTGACTGCTCTCAGAGAATGAATGAACCAAGCAAATTGAGATGGTTTAATTAACAGCAGCTGGTTATCCAATTTGAGAAAGTCTGCCAAGTTTTATTACCTGCTCAAAAGTCTTTCGTTATATCTCATTTGTTAGAAATACAAAGCTCTGTAATAGCACTTTTGCTTCTTTTGCTGTCATATCCTATTGCACAATACTGCCATTATTTATAATACGAATGACAGAACATTTCGGGGTCAAACTTTAAAGAGATGGAATACTGTTAGATTTCCCCACTCTACATTTCAGCAGTTTCTTCCACTCTGATGTCCTTCAGGTTCCAACAAGAGGACACTAAGTGGCAAAAATCAGGCAAAGGATATCAGTGTCTTTTGAAGAAACTATCCTTTTGTGCCAGAAAATACGGCTTATTCATTCACAAATATATATACATACCTTCATAGCATGTACCACTGCTTCAGGTTTCTGGCTTAGAGGAATATACCCAACTGCAGGAGAAGCAGCAAAATCAGGAGTCATGCGAAAGGGTCCCTGTAAAAATATCAGAAAAAGTAAATCCTTTTAATATATAGTTTGTAATCCCTACTTCAGATTCTTTTGTAGTAACAACTTATATCCCTAACAAATCAAGAAAATCAGTGTGGTTTGTTGCTGTTTTGGATAAAACTCCTGAAAATACTGTGGACAGCCAAGAAAACAAACAAAGGGATCATCAAACAAGTCAACACAATGTCCTCACTCAAGACACAAATGATCAGGTTCAATTATATTAAATATTATACTTCAGTCACATTGTGTAAAGGCCCAGCTCTGACCATCACCATTAGCCACCATTTTACACTTCCCGCTGCTTTGACCTTGGATGATATTTCCACTATAATTGATTCCCATGATTGCTAATGCTATGGTTTCAAATGCTGTTTTTTTCTGGAATGTGAAGGTATTGTTCCCCAAGTTCATGTATAATGAACTGTGGCTTTTTCTCATAATCACAAACAGGAGATGAATGGTGTTTCTGAATTACTCCAAAATGTGATGTGATACTAAGCCCAGGGCTATATTAATTTACATGTCCAAGTGTCTGACTACTATTGGTTTCCCTAAAGCCAGGAAAGAGTTTCTGCTTTGAGGTTATCACTAACTTAAATCTAAAAATCAATGAAAAAAACAAGAGAAAATAGCAAACGCTTTTAAAACTAAAAATAATGATTTATTTCTTTGGGAACCCAAAGGCCTGGCAATTTTTTAACAAAGTAATTTCTCACTGATGGTATTCACCAATTAAGGATTTGCAAAGTTTCAGATTTGATTATAAAAATTGTTTTTGACATGTATGGGAACACAAATGAAAACATCCACTGGCAACTCATTAAAGAGCAGCTGCACAACCCTAGAAACAGTCACAGCCATCTTAATATATAGTACTGATAATGTTTCAAGTACAACTGCACCAGTTTTAATTTAGAGAAGTGTTTCTTAACCTTGGCAAATTTAAGATGTCTGGACTTCCCCAGCATGGGGAATCCTAAAGTTGACAAGATGGACAACTGATTTAAAGAATCCCTTCACTAACATCTTGATTTGGAACAAAATATTGTGATTCAATGACAGCAAACGAAAACTATTTATGTCACTACATTGCTTAAAAGTTTAAAAGTATTGCAGTGGCATAAAGTATGGCTAGATGTGTGAAATTCTAGAGCAGTGTTTCTCAACTTTAGTAACTTTAAGATGTCTGGACTTCAATACTCAGAACACCCATGCTGGCTCTAGAATTCTGGGAGACAAAATACACATATTTTAAAGTTGCCAAGGTTGAGAAACACCGCTTCAGAGTAACATTATGGGGTATGACACAATGAGAGGACGCATACACTTAATAGTGGTGTAATGAATTATAAACAAATCTCATTGCAGATCTATTTGCATAATTTAGACATCAAACCAATGTATCCATCATCTTAATCCCAGTTTTTTTAATAAGTTTATTTTATATATATGGGATTTCACAACTGGGCATGAAGATTCTTTTGCAATAGTACTTTATAATAACTCCTAACAATACCGCAGTTCTAAATACAGAATATCTGTATTCCTTGCAAGAGTGATATTTTTTCCAACTTATGAAAGCCAATGGGATTTTTTTTGCCCCATCTTAACATGGTTATGACATTAATAGTAGCTTGTAGATGACTTAAACCATTTTTCCTCACCATCTTCCCATGTATGCACACATGCACATGTGTACATATACACACACAACAAAATCCTTGCCTCTTATACTGTGATTAAAAAATGTGTTTGTGCCAAATGTAAACTAAACTCTAACCAAGGTTAAGCTAAAGGCTGAAACTAGATCTAGAATATGTTAACGGCTAATTAAGGTTAGTCAGAGCAGATGGGTAGACACCATGAAATTTCTGAGTACTTTCTTTAGCCATTTCGATTACATGAGAAGAAAACAAGAACCACCTGCGAAGTCATCCTTAAGAAAACCTATGCTAGCGTTCTTTTGTAAATGCTTGCTGACATATTGCTTGACAATCTATTACCCAATATAGTCATTATTGCTTGACAATCTATTACCCAATATAGTCATTAAATATATTGATCTATAGCTTCTCTTCTTTTCTCCACTGAACTTTGGAATTTTTTGCACCTCCAGACTTCTAGAGTTTTGGGGTTTTTTGAAGATTATACTCAGTGGTTCTGAAATCTTTATACCAGCTGCTTCACGCTTCTAGAATTTGACAGTCCTGTAGTCTTGAATTCGATTATGGTCTTATTAGATTTTGATCAGTCCTGAGCTGCATTCTGACCTGCTTTCATCCATCAAGTTAGGAATAATGTTTCTAACAATCAAGAACTATCTTTATATATGGCATATTGTGAAATCTAAGCAGACAGAGGAACAAATACTACACTTTTACAATTGATTAAAAATATGTGCAGATGAGGACAATCTTCTCCACAATGTGGAGAACATACTGTTAACTAATTCATCCAGTTGTTGGTTCTCACTTAGTTACCTATCTGAATTCATCTAGTATATGATCATCTATTTTGAAGGTCACACAGGAATCCTCTAGGTATACTTCAAATAAAAAATTGCTCCTTCCTTCCTTCCTTCCTTCCTTCCTTCCTTCCTTCCTTCCTTCCTTCCTTTTTTTCTTTTTTTCTTTTAGAAGTCAAACTATAACTGTGTATAAAAACTATCAGGAAATTTCAAACAATTTAGGGTCTACATTTATTGTACAACTTTAATTGATATTTCCCCTTTGTCCTTCCTGCTACCCTTTCCCCCCTTCTGCATCAGTTTCTATGGAAACAAACAGCAAGATAATGCATAAATGCATCTAGTGATATCATATGAAAAATCAGTCTGAATGGTGACATGGGAAATGCATGCTATGTAATGGCAATTTGACAGGTTCAGTCACCTGTTAAACTCAGCACATACTATAGTTTTCAAAACACTCTATTTTCCAAAAATACTCTGTCAGCCATTGTCCTGCCATGCCTTATACAATATTAAATATTCATGTGAGACTACTGGATCAAATGTTAAAATGTAAACTTCTAAAAATGTCTCTATCAGTTCTTTAATAATAATATTTCAAATGTATATGCATATTTATATTTTTTTGGGCAATGCTATATAAATGGTTTCTCATTACCTTCTCTCAGTATGTTTTTTAAACTTTCCAATCTAGCCCCTAACCCCTAAATTCCTAGGTAATTCCACTATTCAGGGACTAACTACAGTTGATCGTGCTTAGATTTTGAGTTAATCAAAGCTGACTAAGGTCTACATAACTATCTGCTAAGACATCTTCTGTTTATATAGTGTATTTTAATAATAGTTTTACTGTTTTTTATTTAATTAATCAATATTTAGTGGATTGTAAGTTATCTTGGGGAAATTTTCCGGTTCCGAAAGTTAGAATACAATTTAACAAATAAAATAGGTAAATAAACAAAATGATTTCTCCATGCTTTAAAATTTTGGGCCCCAGATTTGAGATCATTTGAATTCTAAAATTTCTAGAATCAAAAGCACTGGAGGGTAATGGCATTTTTACACTGGAACTTTTTGCCACGATGTTCTTGTCAAAAATGGGTTTGTTTTGGTTTTATTGGAAATTAGTAGAACCCATTTTGTGCTATAGTACCACTGAGCAGGATTACCTAGAAACTCACTTTTTAGTACTGCAGCAATTGTGTGGGCTTTGAAGGGTTGTTTTTTTCCCTGCTGTAGATGATTATGCAGTAAATAAAATTATAAAATACAGTTACATGGTTGCAGACTGCTTTCAGGTCTATTTAAATATAGAAAATGTTCTATTCCTTCAAGGAATTAAAAAAAAACATTCAAGAGGCAGAAAAAGAAAAATCAACATTTAAGGTGATAATTCAAAATTTTCACATTCATGCCTGACTCACATTGCACATCAGGGGAGACAGCCCAGGCCCTATCATAAACTACATTGTGGTAGCAGCTCTTCCAAGCAAGCATCTATTTAACTTAAATTGCAGGATGATTCATTCAGAAATGTGCCGAGAAGTCACACCATTCAATTTTAACATGCTGTCATCATCACTTGCTGAGAAGTACGCTGGTGAGAACATGTTAAAAGGGGGGGGGGGGGAGAGAGAAACGAAAAAGAAAAGCTACCTTTCAAATCTGAGCCCTTCAGTATTTTTGGAGCAAAAAAGTATTACCCATTATAGAGGGAGGGCACTGAACTGTGAATGACAACATATAAAACAAAATCCAAACAATAAAACAAGAGATCCTTCTTTCTTTTCCTGCATGGATTTAGATTTGTGCTGAACTGTAACAATTCCTCACTTATTTGGAAATATGAAGGAGTTTTCAACACAGGAATTTTCCTTATATTTCTAAGAAATTACTTACAATTAATTAATCACAAATTTCAGGAAATTTAAGAAATTATAGGAAGACCATTTTTTATGATAAAAAATGGCTGAGTGCACATTTCTCTTCAGTTAATTTTCTATGTGGTCTGAGATGGGGAAATATTAATACAAGAGTTCATGTAGCTGTAACTCAGGGTCCCACAATGCAATAGTTTCTTCCTACTGATCCAGATCTATTGTTTTGTTCAAGAGAAAGATATTCTCAAGACAGGTGTAAAGTAAGGTGAGAAATACTGAAAAGTCCTAAACCAAAATGAGCCTACCTCTTCCGGTTTCAGATTCCTACACAGAGTTTGGGACCTTTTGATTTTCTTTTTTAACACTGATCACAAGTGGCCTTTTCCTAAACCAGCTTGAAAAATGAAAATATACAGCATGAAATATTAGGGTTTGAGAAGTTAACATACAGAATTACAGAACTTTTTTGTTTGAGTGTTTATGTGTAAGAATTGATGGTATAGTTTAGATATGGAAGGACTGAACTCAAATCTCTACTTGATTTGAATTTTAGTCTCTGCTATCTAGAGATAATCTAGGAATAGGGAGAAATTGCACTGTAATGGAGATGGGAAACCCTGGTTATGTTAGTT